GGTAGGTGCAGTAATTCGATTAATTGTGAAGAGGCCATTTGGCTTTCCTTGGTGTTGGTTTCCTAAAGAACTCTTTGTTTTGAATGGCTTTCACAAGTACATGCACAAAGACTCTCAATGAAGTCATAACCGAGAGCTGATGATTTTGAGGTGGTTGTGATTTCTCCCTCCGACGATCACCTTGCCATGCTTCACCCTGCACTCACCCATAGTATGGACGGGGACTCTAGGACTATCTGTCCCTTCTCCTATTAATGTATATGTCGCCCTTATCTTTGTGGTGATTTTGTTGGTCTATGGGGAATTGCCTAAGTTTCCCCCACTAATTAAACTTCTCCAGTTGTTTTACTGCAAATGAGTTTGTCTTGCAATTATATTCCTCATTTATGTGATTATTGGCAAGTTTAAGAAACTCGGCCAGCTTTCTTAACTGTTGTAGGCCGAGTGCATACTAGAAAGGTCCTTCAACGAAGCCCTTGGGTCAAGGTGGCTTGAGATATAGTTGGTTCGAGATTTTTCATATCTAGCATTTTTTTTCTACAACCACATAATGAAACTCCATAAAGATTCACTTGGTTCCTGCCTCATCTGCGATACGAATTCCTTAGTTGCCTTTGTGTGTTGTCAAATTGACTGGTGAACATATTCTTGAACTTGTCGAATGAGCTGTGAATTCAAGTGAAAGGCTTAAGAACCACTCGAGACCTGATTTCTTAAAAGTTGCAAAGAATACTTTGCACTTCATTTCATCTTCGACGTCGAATAATGAAACAATATATTCAAAATAGGAGACATAATACATAGGATATGTTCTGCCCTTGTACGAATTCATGTGGGGAATCTCAAACTTTACCAGGGGCTTAGCATATACTATTTCTCTGTTGACGGCTTTTTCTTCTAATCCCACCTTTTGTCATTGTAATAATAGGAGTTTGCATCTTCGCTATCAAGGTAGTAGGTTGCATCTTCCCTATTTTGTAACTCTAACTCATGTAATACTTTTCTTTTAGTTTGTGGCATGCTCCTCACTTACACACCTTTTAGGATTTTGGAATCAAAATTTTCTTTGGATTACATCCAAACCTTATTGAGAGCATCATTTGAAGAGAGCAAAGAAAAGGAGAGAGAGAATTACAGGGAGTGGAGCTTTGTACTTCTTTAAATGAACTTTAATTCCAAAGATTGCATCATCTGAGCTCCACCTTTGACTTTTTATTTATAAGTTTAGGCCAAGGCTTAGGATGTCATAGAATTAGTTACATAGAGATGATTGTAAAATAATGATAAGGCTTAGGAGCTGTATATCCCAACTACACACGTGTATATTAGTTGGTAATTGATGACTTCTTGACGTCATAATGCCCAACCGATTTGAGGAAGTCGCTGACATGACTTGAGGGAGTCGCTCGCGTGGTGATTACTTGGAAAGCTTTGGTGAACCTATCTCAAGCTAGATTGATTTCATATGAACTAAGTCAACTTTGGCTTCAATTAGGTCAACAGATGCATGATTATATATTATTAGTTTTTCCCTCGTAAGAATCGAGGTGAGGAATTTTGAACCTTACGGGAAGCTTTTGCAATCTCCCTTGAGAAAATATTTGTAATGTACCTTGAGAAAACATTTTTCAGTTGAGACTTACTCTTTTCTAATCGCCTCTTTTCCTGATGATAGGTTGATGTCAATTCTTCATTATTTAGATGGTTGGTCTCATTAACCACTGGTGTTGAAGTTAGATCTCTAGTTCTAGATAATCTCCATCTTCTTATGATTAAATAAGAAGATCATGCCGGCTACTCCACTCTAGGACTAGCACTTGAAAGATGTTCTAGTGCTCCTTTGATCATTCTATTTAGTATTTCTTTCATCTTTGTAAGTTGCCTTGTTGTGACAAATTCTTTATTCTATATATTCCTTGTAGTTTCTTTGTTTTGCTCTGCTTCCCATAGCACTTGATTTTTGGTTTTTAGCATGCTCCATGATCATCACACATTTAAGGATGTTGAATTCCAAAATTTCCTTGAATTATATCAGAATCTTACTTTTGGACAAAATCAATAGGAGAGCAAAGAATAAGCAAAAAAAAGAAAGTATTTAGAGTGAGAAGCTTTGAGATTTCATAATGAGCTCAAGTACTAAGAATGCGTGTATTGAGCTCTACCCCTCATCTCCTATTTAAAGGTTTGAGTTGGGCTTGAGCGACATAGGTTTGGCTACGCCCAAGGGCGGATTTAAGCTGGGGGCCGCGGGGGCACGGGCCCCCACTGGATGTGCGAGCAATGTCTAATTAATACGATTTATTACTCTTTAATTAGGCCTAAAGCAAATTATTAATATTAGATATTTTTTCGTCATCCTTATTCCCACCCGTCTTACCCAAAAATAAATTCCATCCTGCCTTGCTTCTTTTACGCACGGACCACGGAGTAGAGCGAACAGCGAATCCTTCTTCTTTCACGCGGAACTCCCGTTACTTCCTTCTTTTTTCCCGTTTCAGGTAATGATATGAATTATGTATATCTCTACTTGTATTAAAAAAATACTTGAGTGGTACCTGGTTCTTTTCCACATCGAGTGATCTAAGCCAAAGGCCCTGAGTGTAGGGAAGTCGGAGCTAGGTTTCGGGGAGAAAGTATTGATTTTTTTATTTATTTTTTTTTTAATTTTTTCCAATGAATCAACTTTGATTTGAACTTGGTATGCATTAAGACTTATGTGAGGAGAGCTTATTTTTATTTAAAATTGAGCTGGTAAATTAGAAAACTTTATAATGTGTGAAATTTATAAGCAATTGGCTATTTTTCAGATTGCTTTATTTTATTTGTCTTATAGATCTTATTAATTAATCAGTAAAAGTAATTTCTTCATCATGCTTGATGACTTCATTTTGTTAAGCTTGTGCTTTATTTTATTTGCCTTACAATTACTTTTGTTTGTGATGTTGTTTTCATTCAAATTAGATATGCATATGTATTTCAAATGAAAATTTGAAGGAGATGACCAGAAACTTTTATTTGAAGAAAACAATATACAAACTAAAGAAAGTCATACACAAATAAATTATGCCGATGTCCCCACTGATTCTGGATTGAGAAAAAAATTTTAGATTACAATCCTAATGAGAGGGATAGTGTGCGGAGATACTACTTGTCAAAAGGATCATGCCAATCACATGATCATAAATTCCCCCCAACACAAATTGAAAATAAATTTCATAAATTTTATAAAGGTTGAGGATTTTTTTAAATTCAATAAATTGTGCCCCACATGAAAAAAATGCTGGCTCCGCCCCTAGCTACACCTAAGATTATATAAATAAGTATTACAATAAATTAACAACAAAAACATCAAGCCTTTATCCTACTACGTGTGGTCGGCTACATGAGTCCTTTCTCTCCATTGTGTCTTGTTAAGAGTCAAATTCTCATTCAAATTTAATAAAGAAAGGTCATTTCTAATATTTTCTAACCAAATCTTTTTAGGTCTACTGAGATGAGGATGCTCAGGTGGATGAGTGGATTTACTCTTAGAGACAGGATACGAAACGGCATATCCATGAAAAGATAGGAGTAGTTTCAGTGACATATAAGATTAGAGAGAGTCGCCTTACAATAAACTATGTTACATAATTTTGTTTGACTATTCCTTAGTTGTTATTATGATAAAAGTTTAATCTTCCATCCATGGGCGGAACCACATGGTTCCTGGGGGGGGGG